TAGAAAAATATGAAAAAAATATGAAAAAATATTTAAAAAAAATTCTTCATAAAAATTTTTCTTGGAAAATTGTTTCAAAAACAATTCTTTATAAAAAATTTTCTTGGAAAAATATTTTTTAAAAAATCCCTCTTGGAAAAATATTTTTTCAAAAATCTTTCTTGGAAAAATATCTTTTTAAATTTTTTTTCAAAGAGCCATGGAAAAATATTTTTTCAAAAATCTTTCTTGGAAAAATATCTTTTTAAATTTTTTTTCAAAGAGCCAAGGAAAAATATTTTTTCAAAAATCTTTCTTGGAAAAATATCTTTTTAAATTTTTTTTCAAAGAGCCAAGGAAAAATATTTTTTCAAAAATCTTTCTTGGAAAAATATCTTTTTAAATTTTTTTCAAAGAGCCATGGAAAAATAATTTTTAAAAAATCCACGCCTATCAAAGAGCCATGGAAAGATAATTTTTAAAAAATCCACGCCTATCAAAGAGCCATGGAAAAATAATTTTTAAAAAATCCACGCCTATCAAAGAGCCATGGAAAGATAATTTTTAAAAAATCCACGCCTATCAAAGAGCCATGGAAAAATAATTTTTAAAAAATCCACGCCTATTGTAGCTAGGGAAAAATAATTTTTAAAAAATCCACGCCTATTGTAGCTATGGAAAAATAATTTTTAAAAAATCCACGCCTCTTGTAGCTATGGAAAAATAATTTTTAAAAAATTCACGCCTCTTGTAGCTATGAAAAAATGATTTTTAAAAAATCTACGCCTCTTGTAGCTATGAAAAAATGATTTTTAAAAAATCTACGCCTCTTGTAGCTGTGGAAAAATAATTTTTAAAAAATCCACGCCTCTTGTAGCTATGGAAAAATAATTTTTAAAAAATCCACGCCTGTTGTAGCTATGGAAAAATAATTTTTAAAAAATCTACGCCTCTTATAGCGCATGTTTGAATAAAATTATGTTGCATACCTTCAGGCCTAATATTTCATAAATTTCTTAAAAATTAATGTTGCCTTTGGAAAATTCCATAAAAGAAACTTAAATCAATTTCACGGCATATGCGTAGGTGCTATTGACATCTAGAGATTTGCCATCGAACATTTAAGTTGACTGCTCTCCTCACAAATAAAAAAAATATGAGAAGAATATGTGGGCTGCTCGGAGACAAACTTTGACATTATTTCGACGTCATTCTCTTGTCGACTGCTGCTGGCACTTCTTCTCTTCTACTAATCCCATTGCATATTCTTGGCACCGAGTGGGTTCTGTGACAATTTATCTTGTCTTGTGCATGCTCAAAGTTCTGTGGAGAATGAGTATGGGTATGAGAAGGGGGGTCTGGGTGGTGACAAGCCATGGAACTGAGTTAGATTTGTTAGTTAGCATCTCAAATGTCTTTCGGAATAACATTTGACATTTTGAACTTTATTTTATGGGCATGGGATCTCGTGGCGGCAAAAGAGGAGACTAGGGGATTAACTGACTGCTTGTTTGCCTGCCCGGCTGGCTGTCTACCATACCCTTTTGTAATGGGCCATAAATGTGCTGTCGTCATCAAAAACCTCACCGACATCATCAGCAGCAACATTCGTGTCATTGTCTCTCACAAAATTCCGAGTCCAAAAAAATCCAAATTGTTTTGGACTTTTTTTGTTGTTATTGTCCTTTGTATGGCTTTGGGGGTTATATATATTCACTTATATACGTATATATGTATATATATTTTATAAATAATTTTTTTTTTGTTAGCTACGAAATTTGACATTTGCCTGCTGGCCCTTTTGTCGCTTTTGCCTTTTTTGCCGTTGTTGTAACACGCTTTTAAGTGAAATGCCGTGGGCATTTACATTGTAATCTGCTCAGAAAATAAAATAGGATTTATTGTTTTTTGTTGTTGTTGCTGCATTTCATCCTCTAAGTGATGACGTTGGTTCGTCCCATTGTCAAATCCATTTGGCCTGCCTTTGAAATGTGTCGGGACAAGCCAGTGTTGCCAGAGATCAAAATTAAATGTCAAATGCAGGACTTGCAGGGGTCTTTGAGAAATCGTTTCTAAAATTTATATTTCAAAAAAAAAAAAAAAAAAAAAAAAAAAAAAAAAAAAAAAAATAAAAAATAAAAAAAAAAATAAAAAAAAATTAAAAAAATAATTTCTGAAAAAATACAGCAGCTTATGAAAGATTAGGTAAAAAAGAAGAAAGTTAACATTGCAAAGTAACCGAAGTAGAGGGGTAGAATTTCCCCTCTCTGCCACTTTTTTGGAATTTTCGATTTAAGATTCCCCGTGCATTTTAGGTGAAAAGTGACTTCGGCAATATTGCAGCTAAAAATATAAGAAATATTTTGGTGGAATATTTTAACCCTCATGCGAGTCAACAAATGGGTCTTTTTGGTCCTTTTTGTGAAATATGGTTGAAAAATCCGTTTAAACGGGGTCCTAGCAAGTTAAAATATTTTGTCATAAAATTCTACTATAGGTCCTAGAAGACGTCAAGAGTCTGAATCTTACCTAAACGTCAGTAAAATCATTTTAAACACGCACTTTTTGTGAATCTACGCAAAATACTCCTTTAAAGCATCATTTTAGAAGGATGACGTCAAGGACGAAAATATTTCTCATCATATTTCACTATACATGAGATGAAAGACTGCTGTCATTTCTAAGCCACTCGTCCGACAGCTTTTAAAATTATTCCAGTGATAGCTGCATATATTGTTTACAAGCGTACAAAAGCATTTTGGTGAAAATTTTCCAGAAAAAAAGTTATTCGTGATAGAATTCAGGCGTGATAGTGTGATTTCTTTTTATTTGGCTGGAAAGCCCCAACTGGCTATCGTTAGAGCTCTCCAGCATTTTAATGTGAATAAATCTTTTGTGTCTCGTACCATCGCTCGTTACCGTGATAGCGTTGCTGGTAGCGTATCCCGACGTAAAGGAAGTAAACAGAAGAAAACAGCAACATAAGCAGAAAAGGTTCGAAAAGTAAAAAAGGGACTTGATCGACTTGAAACCCGCGTCGCAGTGGCCGAAAAATGGCTCGTGACCTGAACATATCGCTATATTTCATTCGGCAAGTATTGAAAAAATAAGCTCGAGGTAAAGCCATTGAAATTCCAAAAAGTGCAAGAACTTACACCGCAACAGAAAGAAAATAGACTCAAAAGAGATAAAGAGTTGCTTCGCTTGGCCGAAAGTGGTGATCTGCCGAATTTGGTTTTGATTTTCTCCGATGAGAAAACTTTCGTTGTCCAGCAGTTTGTGAACAAACAAAATGATCGTGTTTTCTTGCCAAAAAGGTCAGCTGAAAATGTGCACCTTCGGTTGGCCACCAGAAAAAAAGAACTCAAGCACCGGCCATGGTTACCATTATAACAGCCGATTGTCGCTCCCTGCTCGTATTAATCGACCCCTGATGCCACGGTCGATTAATAGGGGTAAGTGCCGAATATTATCACGAAAATATTCTGGAGGGTGTGTTAAAGCCTTGGGCATGCAAACATTTTGGCCGCAGAGCTTGGACATTCCTTGGACACTCCAACAGCACCATTGCACTCATCACGCGTACGAAAAAGAGGTTCCTCACTTCATTTCCAGCGCACAATGGTCACCAAAATCTCCGGATACCAATCCGTTGGACTATTGTGTCTGGAGTATTTTCGAAAGCATGGTTGACACCAAAAAATACCAAAGTGTCGATCACCTCAAGCAAGCGCTTCACCGGGAATGGACCAAAATACCGCAGAGCAACATTCGGGCAGCGTGTGACAATTTCATTGGCCGTTTTTCGAACAAATCTAAACTTATTCTAAATTTTGATGATATTTCCGAAATTTTTTGCTTTCGATCAATAAAATTAAAAAAAAAAATGTAAAAATTATGGTGTTTGACATTGTTGCAGTTTTTTATCTTACCCTGTATATTCGAATTCCTGGCTTTTGGCTAAGATTTAGACTTTTGATGTCTTGTAGGACCTATTAGTAGAATTTTATGGCAAATAATTTTGTAGAATATATTGACTTACTATGATACTGTTTAAAGGGAGTTTTCAGGCATATTATGAAAAAAGGACAAAAAAGACCCATTTCTTGACTCACTTGAGGGTTAAAATGTTTCACCACAATATTTCTCGTATTAAAATCTGCAATATTGTCAAAGACACTATATACCTACAATCAACCTATTCCGAGGAATCTTAATTCGAAAATTTCCATAAGTTTTGTAGAGTGGAGGGGGGAACTTGCCCCGTTTATTTTGCTTACTTTTAGCTACAAATTTTAAAAACGCCGATTGACGTGTCTTGTATTTTTAGATCTACTTTCAAAATCTCCTGCAATTATTAAAAAAAATTCAATTTTGTCCCAAGTAAAAATTTGATTCCTATCTTTGTTTTTTTTTTTTTTTTAATTAAAAATAAATTATATAAATAATTGGGTATTTATATATATAATTATAATATAATTGAAATGAAAATGAGCAGAGATCTTTGTTGAAAGGTCACACAGATAATAAAACCTGTTTACAAATGTCAAGTACCTCTGCAAATGCAAATGTCATTCGATTCAATCAATAAACTATAAACATAAAATGGTGAAGAGAAGGAGTTTAAGGAAGAGGGGGGGGGGGGGGTCATGTAGATACCAGGAAGCACCCACTTACAGTGAGGGCTTTGTAGAATGTTTCTATGGCAAAAAAAAAAAAAAAATAAAAATAAGTTTTAATTGAAAAAAAATTAAGTAAAATCAGTCGGCTTTGCCTACAGATATATACATTCAGCCAATGTTCGTTTATTTAAGTATATTTTGACTTGCTTTGACTATATCAAGCATATATTACCTCTATTGTGATGTGGCTGGGCTATATCTAATCTATACCTATATGTACCTCAATCTGGTTATTCACTTATTATTTAAATTAATTAATTAATTGACACATTTTGTATGAATTTTTGATGGTTTGAAAATAATTAATTCTCAATTTTTTCTCTTCTTCTTTTTTTGCAGAATGGACATTTGCCGTTGGAATCTATCGAATGCCTCGGAGTTGATATCATTTCGATGGCTAATAATAGCCATGATTTACATAGCGACAATAATACTGACGATCTGTTCCGATAACATTGATGAGCGACTATATTTTTCGAGTAATCTGAATGTGACGTTGACGCAAGAGGAAATGGTGAGTGCTTGGGCGGGGGGAAGGAGGGAAAACAATTAGAGATGAGGGAAGGGGAGTAGAGATGAAAGTTGGAGTTGGAAGTTAAAAAATGAGACAATTATTCGTTTATTGTTGAAGAGAGGAGGAGAGAGAGAGAGGAGAGGAGAGGAGGAAGAGAAAAAGAAAAGGTTTAAATAAAATAAATTAGTGGAGTAGTGGAGTATGAGTGTTGACAACAGTCATACGCCCCAGCTGTTGTCATATTTCCAGTTTTCTCCAGTTGTTTTTTGAAAAAATTGTTTTTTTTTGTTGATATTGTGAAAATTTCCATTTCAATACTTCATTGAATACCAACTCCCCATCTCTGGCTCATACTCGTAATCATTGAAATTTAAATAATTTAATTTATTTCCTCTACATTTTTGTTTCCAGTTAACCAACAGCATAGTTTCAATATGGAGCAGTCTGTCCGTGACCCGCAGTATTGGGGCGATTTGTGGTTGGATCATGATTGGCCTGACGCCCCACGAGGACTATCTCTATGAGCATTTGTTGGATTTGACACGCTATCAAATGACAAATAATTAAATTCCCATATTAGAAAAAAAAAAAAAAAATACAAAAACAAAAATAGTAAACAACAAAAAACAATCGAACTCTTTGGCAATTGTAAAGAAGAAGAAGAAAAAAACAAAAACTAAAAACAATATTTATATAAAATTAATTTAATTTTATTTATTTAACGAGAGAATTAAAATTAAACCAAAAAAATAATAACAACACACACTGTTGAACATTTGTGATGTTAATTTAATTAGAATAAATTTAATTATAATTAGCCAATAAACAGATGTAAATATTTATTCTGTACATAGCAGAGGTGATTAAATTATAATCGATTAAAAATATTATTGACTTTAATTGGAGGTTTTTTTTTATTTATTTAATATTCACTTTTTTTAGTTTCGGAAACAAAAATGAGTGAGCTGGGGCCTATGAGTGTTGTCAACACTCATACGTGCCATGGTACAAAGGCGAAATTTACTATTTTTTTATAAACTACTGCAATTATTTCGAGAAATCATAAAATAAAAAATATTTTTTCCTTAAATTTTTGTAAATATTTAACTATTATTTTTTAAATTTAAAAGCATATAATAAACAATATTTACATAGAAAAAATATAAACATTTATAAAACATTTATTTTTAATACCAAACCAAAGCTTTACATAGAGACCCCTAAAATACAAAAATATTTATATGACAAAAATACCCCCTTTACACAACCCCCTCCCCAAAAAATATCCCCTCCCTCCCCCTGCATAACATATTAGGCCAATTAGGAAAATGGCAATAAATATCCCCCCCTCCCAAAAAAAAAACGTAGATTATCTGTAAACTGTAGATACCATTATGGAATAAACCACACAAAAATGCCCTTCAAAGGCCGCTAGAAATCAAAGTTTGATTTTAAACCAATAAGAAATTAAAATTAAAAAAAAAAAAAACTAAAAACAACAAAAATTATAACGAAATTCTGTAGTTTTATCAAAACTAAAAATATACATATTTTAGTAAACATATATAGGAAAAAACAAGAGCAACAACAACAATCCATTTGAGATAAAATTGAAAAAAAATAAAAATTTCAGGCTTTGCCAAAATTTATTGATTTTCAAAATTTTGATTTTTTTGCGAATTTTTTTAAGAAAACTTTTTCTAAATTATAAAAATTAAAAAAAGTATATAACTGTTTAATTTTGTGTTGTTTGTAAATATATTTAACAAATTCTATTTTTTTTTTAAGTATTTATACTCTCAGTCATAGGGCTACAGAGGTTGAAATAAATATTTTTCTTAGACTCTTGGAAAACTCTCAAAGGAGCTGATTTCACCGACTGTTGGTCCTGCAGAAATGAGTACTTTAAATATTTAATTTTCCTAGACCACTGAAAAAACTTTAATTTTCAAAAAAAAAAAAAAACTCTTTAAAAATCAAGTTTTTTTGGCTTTTGATCCTTGGCTACAGGTGCTTCAGAAAATCATTAAGAAATCCATGGTAAATGGAAATTGGACTGAGGAAGGAATTTAAAAAAAGATATCGATTGACAAAATCTGAAGTATTTCCACATTGACATGACTTCATAAATTTCACAAAAAAAATATTTTTTAAAATTACCTCGCAGCATATTCCCTTAAGAGTTAATGATATACCTGGAGGTCCTTAAATTTTTTTCTTTATGAAAATCCACATTTAAGTTTCTTTAGGTCTTCAAATAATATTCCTTTAAAAATGCATGTAAAAATACCTGGAAGTCCTTGAAAATTAATCCCTTAAAAATTCATAATATAGCAGGAGATCCTTGATCCTTTAAAAATCCATGTAAAAATACCTCAAGGTCCTTGAAAATGATTTCTTTATAACTCCACTTTTCAGATCCTTTATATCCTTGAATAGAATTAAAAAAAAACATATATTTCACAATTTTTTTTAATTTCCTTGTCAAAAAGCCTTAAAATCCTAAAACATAGTCCCTTAAAAGTTCATAATATACCTGGAGGTCCTTGAAAGTGTTTCCTTTTGAAAAGCCACGTTTGAGTTCCTTTAAGTCTTTAAATAATACTCCTTTAAAATCCATGTAAAAATACCTGGAGGTCCTTGAAAATTATTTATTTAAAAATCCATTTCTGAGATCCTTTATATCCTTGAATAGAATTAAAAAAAATATATTTTACAAAAAAAATATATTTTTTTCAATTACCACGTGAAAAAGCCTTAAAGTCCTTGAGAAAGAGTCCCTTAAAATTCATAATATACCTGGAGGTATGATTCTTTTAAAAATCCACGTTTGAGATCCTTTAGGTCTTTAAACAATATTCCCTTTAAAATCCATGAAAAATTCCTGGAGGTCTTTAAAAATTATCATTTTTAATTTCTTTAAAAATGTATCCCTTTAAAGTTCATAATATACATGGAGATCCTTGAAAATTATTCCTTTAAAAATCCATGTAAAAATACCTGGAGGTCCTTGAAAACTATCCTTCAAAACTCCACTTTTGAAATCCTTTGTATCCTTGAATAGAATTTCAAATTCCATAAATTTCACAAAAATGTTTTTTTTAAATGTCCACGTCAAAAAGCCTTAAAGTCCTCGAAACATATTCCCTTAAAAGGAGAGTTTCAAAACTTACAAATCTTCACTAGTCAAAATATATTTAACGAAACCGACAATGGCTGAGGGTATACATTTATCGGTAAAAACCGACTCATACTTTTTAACTTGTTATTATATTTAATAATATTTGTTTTGGTTTGAATATTTAATTTTTTTTAAATAAATAGAAAATATTTGAATTTATTATTATTATTATTATTATTATTATTATTATTATTATTATTATTATTATTATTGTTTTTATTATTATTGTTATTTAAATATTTCATTTCCCCCTAGTCTACCTTACGCTTAAGATAGAAACTAGATTTTCCCTTTAAACGAGCATTTCCATCCTCCCCTCAAAAAATAGAGATGCATTTTTCATATGTCCAATTTTTATATATCTATACTCGTATCTTAGTATATAATTAATGGAAACCTCTTAAAGATAGTGAGAATCTTGTGAAAAAATCCTTTGAGCAATGACGTGAGGCAAAGGATAACAGGAAAAACTGTGAAAACAAAACGTAGACAATTATGCTTTGCTTCCTCCTCCCCCTATCAATTTTTTGATACGATCAATTTCATAAGGAGAAAATATATTTATAAAAAAATATATATAGAAATTGAAAGTAATAAAACATATATATTGCAAAATTATGATAAGATATTGTTCTGTACAGTATTGTAAATAATATAATTTACAAAATAAAAAAAAAAAAACATTTTCAAATTTTCTTTAAATAAATTGATGATATTAAAATAATTTAATATTTTTTTTTTCATTTTATGTCTTATTGTTCAATATTTTTTTTACATTTTCTCATTAAAATGTTTAAAATTTTTATTTCATTTTCAAATTAAAGCAATATTAATATTATTGATATAAAAGGATCAATGAATGAAGACATTCACCTTTTTATATGGTTATTTATATTAAAGTATATTTTGTAAAATATTTATATAAATAGAAGAAAATTTGGAGAGAAAAAAAATGGACAAGTAATAGCAATATCAGGATAGAAAAAAAAACAGAGGGAAAAGGAAAAAACTTAAATAAAGGAATTATTTATTTGTACAGTACGTATGGCGTATGAGTGCTGTTAGTGGTCATATGCCACATGTTACGGCCTAATTGTGCTTTTCAAATGTATGTGAATGTGAATTTTTTTTTTGTCACGATTACTCATGACAAGATCACATTACAAAGTTTTTTGGTGAATCGAGAATTGTAAGAAGACAGAAAAGACAAGATATACACTTTAAGATTGTATTTGAATATTATTTTCAAAATTATTTAATATTTTCTTATTTTACATGTGATATGGAGTTTTTAAATTTTAGATTGGGATTTCGGGATTGGGATTTGTGAAAAGCCTGATCCATAAAAAATTTCAACCTCATTCCTTGAAAGATTTTTTTACCTAAATCCCAAAAAAAACAAAAATAAATAAATATATAAATAAATCAATTAGAAGAAAGTCCTGCAAATTTCTTTCCAGTCTCTGGAAAGTTCTTTCAATTTTCCTAAACAAAATAATAAAAATATTTGTGAAAAATATAGATCTTGGCAAAAAGTTGTAAGAACTCAGCCTTTGAAAATAGTTCAAAAATTCAGTCCTAGAAGTATTATGAAATACCAGTCCTGGGAAGATCTGGGAAGATTTTTTCTTGTAAAAACTCTCCAAAATTCAGCCCCTGACGAACTTTTAATACAATCGAATTTTTATTTTTTTTTAAATCCAGTTCCTGGGAATATCCCTTGAAAAATTTCATAAAATCAGAAACAGGAAAAAGTCTCGAAAATTTCTTAAAATCAATCAAAAGTTAGAAATATCCTTAAGGAATTCTTGTTTCTTGGTTACAGGTTCTTGGGAAGAATACCAACAGCAATCCAGGTATTTTGGTCCCTGAAAAAAATTCTTAAAACGTTTCATGGTGCTTGTGGTCCTTTGTAAGAACTCTGACACCAGTCCTGGGAAGATAATAGATTTATCTTTGAAAAAAACTCTCAAGGGTCTTGAAAGCCATTCTTTCAATACAACGTTTATGTATCCTTGAATAAAAAACTAAAGTTCCCTGAAAAATATAATAATATAAAAAACAGTTTCGAGGAAGGCTATAATATACGGAGGTCCTTCAATATTATTCGATTAAAAATATTACTCTAAAAATCCAAATGTTAGGGCCTGTTAGTCCTTTCAGTTCAGCTGTAACTTCTGAAGTTAGCAGACGTGCATTATTTTTTTCGCGCATTAAGTCGTTTTTTCAATTTTTCTAAGTTTTTCTTCGCTTTTTCTGCATATTAAAATGGAACACGTATCAAAACTCGAGTGCTATAAATGCAAAACAACAATAACTACCTCGACGTACGTATGGTGTCGCAGCTGCGACAGAAAATTCCATTTTCAACCATGCTCTGTCCTCTCTGAGGCTAGTTATAAAACAATGAGCAATCAAAAAAAACAAGAGTGGAAATGTGAAGTTTGCAAACCACGGCATAAAAGCAACAACAGCTATCATATGATAGTGTATCAATCTTCTCAACATACCATGGCCGTTGAGGAAACAT